ATGATACTATATAACCTGTTCTCCCCCCCCATACAAATTGACAATATTAGTTAAGACACTTTTTTGTCTTTTCTACATTATTATTATTATTACAGTATTTCTTCTATTTCCATTTAGTAATGGTGTGATACCATTGCTAGGATTCTTTCTGTTCCTAATATTTTAAAAACTTCTGTCCTTAACTCTGCACTAGGATGGCACTATCTGCACTGATGGATTCTTTTCCCGTGACCACAGTAACTTTGCTTGTAATAGCAGATGCAGCTGACATATAGACAGGTGTAAATATGAACACATTAAGCAGTTCTAGAAAACTTCTCTTGGTCAGATTCTGGAGATTTGTGAGGAGCATCTGCTGCTTCCCTTCTCTAAAGAAGGAAATCTTAATCCTAACCTTAATCTTGTCACCTGTTTTACTCAACACCAATTAAAGTATTTTAGGGAGATTGTAAGAAGACAATGTGCATCACCATTATTGTGTAAATGACACACAGCTGTGTGTATCTTTCTTAAGAGATGCAGGCAATGAGCTCTTCAAACTTTCCCACTGTATGAAGGAAATTGGAATCTGAATGAAAAACCATCTGTCTGAATTTAAATGTGGGGAATATGCAGATTATGCTAGTTAGAAGTGATAAGCACTTCAAGGACATAACAGCTCTATCAAAGACATTAACCCATAAATGAGGTATATAGCTTCAAGGTCAGTTAGGATTTTTTGTTGCAACCAGTTCAGTAGTAGCTGGCACTGTACAGCCTTTGAGTTTGCTATGCCAAGAGGGTTATGTTTTCTAAGTGGGAGGTAGAGAATTTTCAGCAAATGCTCTGGGCTTTGGAAATTAGAAATTCATGGTCAAAACAGATCTTAGGCTTGTTTGAGCAAAAAAAAAAATAAATGACTTTAATCAGGCTTTCTCACAAAAATGAAGTTGCAGAAGGGTCTGAAAATATTCTCCTGGATAACAGAAAATGATCTTGCTGGGTTTGGAGTTGGGTCTCTTCAGGGAGAAGTCAATGCCAGAGACCCCCATGGTACCAGTGATGAGGGGAGTGAGGCTTAGACACCACAGGGAAAGTCAACAATGAGGCATTTCAGTTTTAATATGAGCAGAACTTGCAGTAATTAATAATTTTGTAAATAGCCCATAGGAAATCGCTGGTTTCTTTAGAAATAATACATGTGTGTGAAAGGAGTAGCTAGATTTTGCAAGAAAACAAGTCTCTCAGCTTGACCCCTAAGGAATTGGGTTTGAAAAAGATATGAACAACACAGAGGTATTGTAATGGAAGTTAGACATTAACTCTTAAATGAACATATATGGGCTTTGAAATAACTTTCAGACTGCAACAAGCCAGAGATGGATATGAAAAATAAGTTGAGGAAGAAGTGTCAATGAAGTCCAGAGATAAAAATCTTGATCATCTTGTGGTAGAAAATTGTCTCTGAGCACTGAAAGGGCTCATAAGCTTCGTGTCTTGACATAAATGCAGTCTGTCAGGTACGTGTTGGATGTTGAAACCCTGCTTTGGCTGTTAGAAAGGAAAAGGGGTTCTCTTTTCCCTTCTCTCCTACCAGGACCTCTGATCCCTTCAGTAAGGAGACCTACGGCTACAAGTAGGATTCCACCAGTAAGAACATTCTGCCTTCCATGCTTGAAAGCCTAAACCTCAACTTTTCTAGCCCCACCATTTTTGTAGAATGCAGCTTTCTTAGTGGGTGGTGGATAATAACACAGTCTCTGAAATACCCATGGTTTTACCTGTTTGAGGCCTTGCTAAATTGGGATTAGAATTTGGAATTTAATCTAAAAGTAAACGCCGAGTATGCAGACTACTGGGGTGATGTGCTCACAATCCGTTGAATAAAGGGCTGGCTATTGTTCATAATCTCAGGAATGCAGGAGGGCTGTCCTCGTGTAGACGGCTACGCTATTAATGGATAAACCTAGGCTTATCGGTTATTCTTGTCAACTGTATGCATTCCCCCTCCCACTTGCTGCCTCTGGATCTGTATGATATGCAGAAGTATGCTTGATAGCCTTCTCATAAACCTAACAGTGACTTTAACCTAACTTGATAAAATTACAATCACACGTAAGCTTCAAATACACAGATACTTAATACTAGCATATCCCTTACTCCCTGCGAGCACTGGCTCCTGCCTGCTGTCCCTCCCCTCCTCTCCCCTGCTCGCTTCCACAGAGGAAGCAGCATGGTCTGTGGCGTAGAGCAAGCAGGAACCAGTGCTCCTAGAGAACCAGCTTAGAAGGGCTTCTGCCTGCCACTCCGTGTGTAAACACTTTTACAAAAATAAACATTTGTTAACCTCCCTACTCTACCATAGTTTCTATTACCTTGTTTGTCTTTAACCAATTTTTGAAACCCTATATGTGATGTAGGTGATGGATAGCCAGCTGAGAATCTGTCCAATTAAAATTACAGTGATGGTGTAGGCCCCAGGGGGAGCAGGGGAAGCTACTGAAGGATATGAAAATATTTCCACCTTTAATTTAGGGTGTTTGTCAGCCATTTGTTCATCAAATTAGCAAAATGAGGTTACTTTTGAATCTCTAGTTCTGTGTAACTATAGCACTTTAACAAGGATGGACTTTTATTTCCGTCTGTATTTGGCCATGAAGTTGGCACAAGTTCTTTCTGATTTATGAACTTTGTAACCATTATTCCTGCTTTTGTAACAGCCTGGTGGTAGTATGCAATGCAGTCTGCTTGGGGCTATGGCATAAATCAACTGGGAATCTAAAGTACATAACGCAGCACTCAGTTGCTGTGTGGAGTTTCTCTCAAACTGTTCTCTATTACTTGGAATTGGCTATCTGTAGCTTCCCAGGTGGACTTAATGGTTCCTAAATGATCTGGAATCTCCCTCTTTGAGAGCTACCATTTAGTCCTGTGTCCTATTGTTGCAACTGAGGTTAGTGGATTACTTGTGAACTTCAGTGTAAACATTTGGGTAATTTGAAAGAAATTAAGGAAATATATGTGCGGCTTTTTTTTGTTCATTTTGCAGCACTTGCATATTGTCTGTTTGTTCTGCTGAATAGTCAACTAGTTTAGGTTTTTTTGTTGGAGACCCTTTATAAACGTTAACAGGAAAACAAAACTCTTTAAAAAAGAGAATTAAAACAAAATTAACATTCTAAGTTATAATTTTGTAAAAAGTGTTTAAAATAACAGAAGATAAATGTCCCTTTTAAGTTCTTGCCCCGCTGCCAGTTTCCTTACAACCTCTGTCAACACTGGGTGCAATATTATGCCATGAAATTCCAACTCTTGGCACAAAAGAATTAATAAAGCAAATTAAAACTGTTGCATGAAAACTTATATGGCCGTCATATATTTCCTTTCTGCTTTCCATGAAAGGATATTATGAATACCACTTAAATTAATTTTTTAAAGTTTTTATTTTGTCTGATAAAATAACACTTTATTTTCCCGTTCTAGATTAAGAACTTCCATGACCTGGAGACAGTTTGACTTGTTTTGTTCTCTTTTAAACAGGAGATGATACATAGAAATGAATCCTGTACTTCAGGGCAGGTACCTATGACCTACTTATGTTGCCTGGTTTACATATTGCAAGAATGGACCGGTGTGGAGTACCTTGAGGACTATCTGAATTATGTGGCCTACCTTTTATGGGTGTTTACTCCACTCGTAATTGTTTTTATACTTCCTGGATTTCTCCTCCTCCTCCTCTACGTTTCCATTATTTTACTTTATGTTTATAAGAGGAAGAATGAACTGAAGGAGGCTTATTCCCATGATATCTGGGATGGTGCAAGGCAAATGCTGGCAACCTTATGGGATGGACATGCAAGAATATGGCATGGTAAGCAAGTGCTGATACTTTCGTCACTAAAATTTAATGACTTAGGCCTGTCTGCCTTCTTTTTCTTATTTGCAAATTTATTTGCTCCAATAATAAACATGTGATTGTAATGGACAATGTGCTGTGTTTGATGCCAGGTGGGTCCCAGAATATTAGAGACATTAGGTAGGTGTTGAATCAACTTCTGTTGGTGATAGACAAGCTTTTGAGCTTATACAGAGCTCTTCTTTAGGCCACCTTGTGTCTTTAATGATTCACAGGGTAGAGGATAAAATTAAGAGCCTAAGCAGCACCTCAGTTTGCTCTTTTTGTCTCCAGCTCTCCCAGTCTCAAACCATGTTTGAAGGAGGGATTGACTCCCCTTTCCCCACCTGCAAGGCAATAACAGGCATTGATTAGGCCTGGTTCCATCCTTTGGGTATGACTCCGTATCTTCTTAAGACTGCCACTGAAGCAAAGAGCCTAGCAGCTTCTCTACCTTTCTTTCCTTTCTGCTTCTTCTTGATTTCTCACAGCTGATGTTAGATGAGGGGCCTGTTGACAGAGAGACCTTATATTCTGTACAGACTGGGTAATGGACCTGTGATTTCTTTCCAGGTGAGGAGGGGAAGAGAGAAATTCAGTGAGCGCTAAAAGAAACTATTACTTCAACCACTACAGATAATCTTTCTGCAGCCTCAAGACAACCTTTACCCTAACTGGCCCTTATCAGCCTCCAACAGTTTAAACAGTTTTGTCTGAGAAAACAGAAAAAATTTGTGCCAGTAGAGAGATCATTCTGTCCCTTACTCCATTAAAGCTCAAACTGACATTAGACTAATAAGTGTTTCTAATAGTGTATGTAATACATGCAAACTCTTGGAATTTGAATATACCTCATGGGCCAAAGTGGTGTCTTGCAGGATGCAGATGACCAAACCCTGTAACTTTGATTGGGGTTTTTCTTTTTGTTTTTTGTAAGGATTAGTTTTTAAAGTAGTGTCCCTATGAGTGCTCCACTTTAGGTGCATCCATACCCATACACCTCATATCAGAGATATCAGATAGCAGTGAATATTGGCCCACATGTGCATGCTCTCTGAGGCTACGGCTACACCGTGGTTTTTTTTTTTCCCCCTCTCTGGAAGAAGATATACAAATCGTTCTCGCATTTGCATATCTTCTTCTGATTCTTTTTGCGGAAGAGGTTTTTCTCATATTTGGCCCATCTACACAGGGCCAAATGTCGGGGAAAAGCCCTCTTTCGAAAAACCACTTATTCCTCGTAAAATGAGTTTTGCAAGGTCTTTCGAAAGGGGTTTTTTTTCCTGACATTCTGCCCTGTGTAGACGGGCCAAATATTGGAAAAACCTCTTCCGCAAAAAGAATCAGAAGAAGATATGCAAATGCGAGCGTGATTTGCATGTCATCTTCTTGAAAAAAATCCCAGTTTAGCTGTAGCCTGAGTAATATGCCCTAGATTGAAGTTCTCTAGTGCTGCATGGGTGAATCCCCCAAGGCTCCTTCTCAACAACCCTTGGCATGAGATGAAGCATGAGCAGAGGCTGATAGATAATTAGTTCTGAACCTTGTTTTAATTTACATCGTAGCTAATAGAGTTTCTGTTGTTTTAGATGATTACTGTTCTCTTCCTCCTTTAAAATGTTTAAAAAAATGCTACCAAACTTTTGTTTGTTTGTTCTGGCTTCAAAAACAGTTATCTCTCCCCCTTCCCCCCATTCTTATTGATGTTTTGTTATTCTCCCCCTGTGGGGAAAGAACCTCAAGAAGGGGCATGCCTATCTCTCCCAGGTTAAAATGTTGCCTTTCCTGCAGAGAGGTGATTCTAATTAGCAATGGCTATTTGGTGCTTAGGAAAATGCCAAATATCACAGAAGTGTCCTCACTTTAAGTTTTGGCAGAAGGTACAAGAAAAGTCCTGAATTAACACTCAGTCTCCTGATGATAGAGCAGAGGTGGGAAAAATATAGCCCATGGGCTGGATCTGGTCCATTTAACATTTCTGTTTGGCCTGCCGTGACTCCCAGCAATTGAGGAAACTGCTTCAGGTGCTTTAAATTGCTGCTGAAGCCTTGGGTGGCATAGGCTGGCCAAGTGCTAAAACAGCATTAGACGCTATGGACACAGCTACCTGCTCCATTTCAACAGTGGTAATGATGAGAAGAGCATGGTGGCTTCACCTATCTGGTCTCCCAAGGGAAGTCCAGATGACTGTAGAGAGCCTTTCATTCGAAGCATCCAAACACTTTGCAATAGAAGACAGACATTTCACTCCATGCACTGGTCCTACATGCTTGCACAGAAAAGAAAGTATAATAAATCATAGATATTGAAAAGACCACTTGCCCTTTCCCTCTACCCCAGAGACACTATGAACCCCTGTGAAATTCAGTAAAGGTGTATCTTTCAGCCATAACTGCCTTTTATCATAAGATAGAAGACTATTCATCCTACAACAAAAGGATTCCTCAAGGGTGTGCGTAGCCTCTTCCTCTAAATCAGATGTCCTATACTAACATGGGATTATAACCTGGTCCTCAAGTGCCTTACAGTGATCTCTTTACAACCAGTGGCCACATGCTCATCATTTATACATCTGCCTGTGAAAACATCTTTACTAGTAGCTATCACCTCAGTTGTAGAACTGAGGAAATAGGAAGGGGCGGGGGGGGGAGAGATTTAGAAATATCTGATTTTTAGGGAGGAAAAGAAGTCGTACTGAAACTATACCCTAAGTTCCTCATGAAAGTATTCCATGCCTTCCCTATGGATCAACAATAAAGAAGCAGTATTACACACACTTGATGTTAGGAGAGTTTTGGTTTTCTATTTGGATAGAACAAAGAACTTCAGAAAATCTCCTAAACTATTTTTTTGATCACAAAGGATCCACAATCTTAAAACAATGACTTTCTAGATGGATATTGAACTGAATTACTTATTGCTATTGTACCCACAATCTTCAGCCTGCACTGAGATTTTGAACTCATTTGCACTAGATCTAGTTTCACTTCTGTAGACTTCATGAAAGATGTTTACATTGCAGAAATATGCAGAGCAGCAGCTTGGGCATCTGCTCATACTTTTGTGAAACACTGCAATAACCCATGACTTAGCATCAGATGCAATGTTTGACTCCACTGTATTATCAATATTAGTCTCTTCTTTGAAGCCCCACATCTCCATCGGGGTACTTTTGTAGAATCCTCCTACAGTGGAGCACCCATAGGGACAGTACTGGAAAAACAGTAGTTATTTACTGTGGTTGTGGTTCTTTGAGATGTGTGTTGCTTCTGAGTTTTTAATAATGAGTTCCGCAGAAGAGAGGGAAATGAGGGCAATTTGCCTGCGCAGCGCAAAATAGTCTTCAAAATAGTCTTGAGGCAGGACATGAGACTGAGCACGTGTGTGGGCCAAATGGATTCTGCTACCTAAACACTCTTATCTGAGGCGTAGGGACATGAATACACTGACAGTAGAGCACCCCCGGGGGGGGGGGGGGAGGCAAACAGACACATTCTCAAAGAACCACGGTTACTACACAAGGTAAGTAACCACTTTTTTGGATGTTTGACTTGGTCTAGGTTAGTGGAAGGTAGGTAATCTCTCAAATGATTCTCATCAGTCCCTTTTCCCACTTTGATTTCAGTGGGACGTGGAACATTCAACATACTTGAAAATCTGTTAGTTGATTGAGTTAGTTCTATGATGTATAAAATCCCAGCCCTGATCAAATAGGCATACTGGATCAAAATAAAATGCTACTTACAATTATTTTACTGTGTATTATTATTGAGGCGAGCTGCCATTTCCCTGAAAGTTAACAAATCAGCATTTGTTAGTACAATTTATTCAGACAGAAAATGTCATGTTTCTTCTAAGCTTAATGTCAAGAGATTCTTAAAAGCAGTACTTCAGTTTAATTTGCTTTTCCTGCCCATTATCTTAACTTGACTTTGGAGCCCAAACCTTTAAGCAGTTGTTCCTCAGAGCCCTACTGCATGTTTTTCCATTAAAGTATTTTGACAGCTATCAGTTCTGTTAGAAGGATGTCAAAACCATCTTCTCAATTCATGGCCCTTTGACTTCTCCTCCTCTAAATATAAAGAAGATTTAAGAAATTATCTGGTCTTTACAAATAAGAAAATCATCTATTTCCAAGACTTTTTCATAACCACTCTGTCCAGATCGAGCCAAAAGAAAAAGGATATTTGAAGAACAATTTACATAAGGAATAAAATCCTTCCTTGAAAATCATCTGTGCTTGTTTTCTGCCATTCAGTCAAAGGGAAGTGAGTTTCTAAAGCACCGATAAGTAGATAATACAAAGCATGCATCAAAAAGGCTTACATAGCCAAAAATGTAACTTTAAATGTATTCAAGCATATTGAACCAAATCACTACATCAAAGAGAAGAAAAAGGATGTGCACGTGTGTGCATATACATATATGAATGATATAGATAAGAATGAGCAGGGCTTGACAATTAGTGTAATCTACTTGCCCGTGGCGAGTAGATTACAAACCAGCACAGCCACGCAGTGTGGTAAGCGCATGCGCAGCGTGCCGAACCATGCGACTGGCGAGCAGGGCTTGCTGCCGCTTGGCGAGCCCTGAGAATGAGAATATATATAAATAAAGTATCATTCTCTGAGACACTTGCTGTTTCTTCCTCATAACATATCTAAGTTTTGACACTTTTGTCTGAACAGCTGAAAATTCTCCAGGCCCTTTTCTGCTGTCTCAAGTAACTATAAACTCATCCTCCCGGGCCTTTCTGACCCTCCTCTCCACTATGCACACCTTTAGTTTAGGGATGTTATATAGTGTGTAATTGAGTAGTTGTATAACCGCATCAAATGTTAGCAGTTACATGACTATTCAATAGTCCTTGGAGGTGGGGCCGGCAGCCAGTGCGCTCCTGGCCCCATTCCCAGCTCCCGCCTGCCAACCTGTGCTGTCGCCTCTATTACAGAGGGGTTGCTGCAACCCCTCTGTGAGTGTGTGTGTGGGGAGGGGGAAGGGTGGAAGAGGAGGAGGATCCAAGCTTCCCATGGACAGAGTTGTTCCACAGCAGCAGCTCCTGTCTGGGAGGGAGGACAGGGGGGGTCTGAGCTCCCTGTGGGCAGAGGCTGTTCCATGCCAACAGCCCCTATCTGCGGGATCTCGGAAACCCCTGCCTCCCACGGACAGGGGCTGCTCTGTGGGATGCCTGATTAGAGACAGCAGCATGGGGGCACAGGGAGGCAGGTGACACTACAGAGCCAGCACTGGCTCCTGCCTGCCCCACCGCTGCTGCCTCTGTAGGAAGTAGCAAGCCTGGGAACAGGCGGGTACGTGGAACCAGCTCCCTGTGCGTATTGGCTCCTGCCTGCCCCCCTCACCCTCCATGCATTGCTGCCTCTGATAGAGAGGCAGCAGCAAAGGTGTGTGTGTGGGGGGGAGAGGGGGAGAAACCGACTTCTCCCCCTCCCCCCCCTTTGCTGCTTCTAATACGGAGACAGCAAGGGGAGCATGAAATGCATGTAGTTGACAGGATTAATTGATAAGCCCAGGGTTATCGGTTAATCATATAGTTATCTACATGTTGACATCCCTACTTCAGTTATTTCAAAATGCAACAGTACAAAGAATTTTATTTCTGCCTCCATAAGATATGCAGTTTTCCTAGTGTTTCTCTGTTCATCTGAGAAGTCTTATAATATCATGAAAGTAATAAAGTTATTTGTATGTGACATCATTTCCCTAGCATTTATGTGGGCTTTAGGTTTGGGGCTGGCTTTCTCTCCTCTTCCCCTCCCTCCCCTTTTTTACAAATTTGTCTATAGAATAAAGGAGTTAGAGAACCATAGTGTTTGCTATCCTCTTTTTTGCCTTGAGAGCTTTTCCTCAAATAGGCTAGATTGGTGTGCCAGGAAGCCAAATCATAGTTTCTTTCCTGTAATGTAAGTCAGAGCTATCCCTTAGGTAGAGTGAATCAAGGTAATCATCAGCGGCCCAGTGCTTTGGGGAGCTCTGCTTCAACATCAGTGTCAAATGGGATGAGGGCTATAGCAGCTATGTGCCTTCAGCAGAACAGGCAGAGGCTGCCAGTGAGCAGGAGACAGCATTGTGTGTCTGGCCCTGCCTCCCCTCAGTGGCTCATATCATTGGGCATAGCTAGGAGTGAGAGTCAGGGAGGGCTCAGCAGACCCAGTTCAGGGGTTTCTGGCTGCTGTGACGATAGATGGGCTCCTCCATGGCACTTGCACACTGGTTGCATGGCCCCCACCTTCTCCCTGCACTCTTGGGGCCACTGCTTCCCTGCCCCATGCCCACCCTGTCCCCACCATTATTTGAATGCAGAGGCTGGGAAGTGTGGAGGTCTAAGTCCAGACTGAGCAGGAGGCAGTGCCAGCACAGAGTGGGCAGGCACCCCTGACAACAGGTGGGTGTGCCTTCATCCAGTAAACCTCGTTGGCACATGCCCAATAGAGCAGCTGGAGCCCGTCACCCCCATCAGTAGCCACAGGGGAAGACCTAACATGCCCCCTTTAGGCTGATTAGTCCCAGACTCCACATCCTCCTATGAATGGTCCTGGTCCCAGCTCCTCAGATTTTGAAAGGGAAAGCTAATTAAGAAGCAAGAATATAGATACAATCAAAGAGTAGGAGGCATGGAAAAGCGCGCAAAAAAAAAAGCAATTTTTTTAAAAATCATGTAACTAAACTACAGTTTAACATTTTGCACATTTAATGTGGATAGGCGGAAAGATGCCATTAGCAGTGGCTGCCAAATAAGAAAAAAGCCAGAAGGTGTGTATGTGTGGAGTGTATGTAACAAAGCATTTAAATAAACATGTTTCAAACTTCTGCACTAAAGTCCAAAGATTGTTTTTAGTACTTTCCTCTGCCACCATACATGTTTGCAAATATATTTTCCCCAGAAGATATTTTTGTTTTTAGATTTGCAAGGATTTTTTTTATATAAAACTTAAAGGGGACATTGTCACAACTTTTTCCTGTCCTCACTAACATTAAGATAGTTGTTGATCACTGATTTTTAACTGTTTCAAACTCTGGTTTACCTACCAATCCTTCTCCCCATGTCTGTTTCTTTTTTTAACTTCTTTTAATAACAACATAAATCAGGGTGGGAACCTTTTTTTGGGTCTGGGGTCACTAACCCATAGAAAAATCAGTCAACTGAGAGAAAGACATTCCCTTCACATATCAGAGCCTTGGGGGGGTCCAGGCTAGTGGATTTTATGTGCCACGTCCCCACAGGAGGTGATCATAGATCATAGAACAGAACCCTGAGCCTCAGGGGATAGATCCAGGCAAGCCCGGGGCGACATCTGTCCCTGGACGTTAGGTTCCCCACCCCTGACATGAATGATAGAAATAATTTGTTTAGTGAAATTCTTTTCTAGGTCTTGCAGAGTAGATAGTGAATTGCTGGGAAATCAGCTTTTGGCATCTTTGATGTCACCAAGTCTTGAACTACCAAGCAGCTCTTGTTTTCCTTTTGCTCTATAACTTGTCAATTACATCCTTGAGAAAAGTTATAAATTGGAATATGAGTGGTATTAAACATTGACATTGTTGTACCTTTTCTTTCTACAGGTTATGAGGTTTATGGTCTGGAAAAAATACCAGAAGGACCTGGACTTGTTGTTTTTTACCATGGCGCAACTCCTGTAGACTATTTCTACTTTGTGGCTAAACTCCTTATGCTGAAGAACAGAATCTGCTACACAGTAGCTGATCACTTTGTTTTTAAATTACCAGGTAATGTCCTTTGCTTGCAAATAGTGAGTTTGGAGTGTTTCATTGTAGGGATACCTTTTTTTAGTGGTATCATACCATAAAATTACCAACACATGTTAATTAGCGTGAGCATTCATACCGTATTTGCCAACAGTCATGGTTTAGACAGGACTTTTTTTGGTCTGTTGCAGCCCAAGGCCAGTATTAGCCTAGTTTATAAATGCAACTGTATGGATTGGACAGGATTGGTTGGTGACCATTCCTACTTCATCTGTCCAATTGAGTCTGAAAGCCAAGCAGAGGAGATCACAGCACAAAGTAGCTGTCTTGATTAACCAACAGCAGCAGTTTCCGTGCCTCTTTCCATTTAAAAACTTAAACAACAAATAGTCTCTAAGGTGCTACAAGACTTAACACAAAATGTAGATGGTATGAGCTTTCGTGGGCACAACCCACTTCTTCAGATAAATGGAGTTTAAGGGGTCCAGTTTTCAAATAAATAGCACAGAGAGGGGTTGTGGGGAGTGGAGAGAAGGAAGAAAAGGGGAAAGAATTTGTCAATTAGAGCTTCGTTTAGCATGGACAGATAAGAACAATTAGTACCCACTCTGAGTACCCTTTGTTTGCTTTTTATGGAATGTAGCAGACCATCCAGCCAATGTCTTTGTTTAGACTTCTGTTGTGGCTATCAAACTTGCAATTAAAATTAAGTTCTGTAGCTTCCCTGCCAAGCTGGTTTTTGACATTGGTTTGAAATAATATGGTGATTTTGAGATCCATTAATGAGTACCTGGGCAAGTTAAAAAGTTCCCCAGCAGGTTTCTGTGTGTTGCCTTTTCAGATATCTGATTTGTGTCCATTAATTCTTTCTCTTAGAAATGGTCCAGTTTGACCAATATACATGGCAGAGGGGCATTGCTGGCATAGATCACAATAGTGGATGTGCAGTTGTATGAGCCTCTGATGTGGTGGTCTCTGTGGTTAGGTCCTGTGATGTTATCGCCTGTATAGATGTGTGGACACTTCTGGTGTTGTGTGCCTTTCTAGTTAGACTAGTGTCTGACTTAAATGACTGAAATTCAAGGATGATGTAAGCCAGAAAGGGTTGCTTAATTTTAATTTATAAAACACGTCAGATACCTAATTGTATCTAATGTGAGCTCAATTAGGCTCATCATATTTTTTTCATGGTAAAAATTAATCTGTATGTTCAGTTACTGTTACTGTAATTGTAGAGCAGAGGCTTGGAACTCAGAGAATGCTGAGAGGGTTTTTTTTTCCTCTACCTCATTCATATCAATATGCTCTTTAACCTTTGAAGGAAAAAGCTTTAAACAATTCCCATCTATTGAACTGGTGGATTTGGTCAGAATCAAGCCACATTTGGAAAATATGGATTGGTAAGGAGGTCATGCTATAGTTAAATATCTCTTCATCATAGTTAATGAATGCCTGAGTGCTTGAAGGCATCGCTGTATGATTTTTGTGGGTTTGATTTGTTTATGATTGAAGTTGTTAGGTATTGAAATATGCAGACCTGTTAAAAACAAGCCTTTAAAGTTCAGATTTTATTGTCCAAGATTTTCAAAACCTATTATGGTGTTTTGGAGGCTCTTTCAGAAAATGGGTGGCTTCTGAAAACCAGGCCCCTTTAGAGATATCTCCAATTGGGTACCTAAAATCACTATTGTTTTGGTAATATTGTAATATCTTGTTTAGAGAATGTATGAAATCAATAGCTGTATAACATCTTAAATATTCTGTGTTAATCATTTCTTTTTTATATATCTTGCAGGTTTTAAACTTTTACTTGATGTGTTTGGTGTTATGCATGGACCAAAGGAAGAATGTGTTAAAGCTCTGAAGAATGGCAACTTGGTGGCTATCTCTCCAGGTGGACTTAGAGAAGCACTCTTTAGTGATGAAACCTATGTTCTTATGTGGGGTAAACGTACTGGCTTTGCTCAGGTGGCTATTGATGCAAAAGTGGTGAGTGTGTGTGGAAGATCACAGAACAGAAGCAAAGAAGGTTAGATTTTTAGGTCTTTCCTTGGGCTAAAGCTATTTTCTCTGTACAGTAAAGCAAATGTTTATAAGGTTACAGAGGTATTCTAAGTATTCTCTTCCTAACTTTTGTAACTAAATTATGTGATTCTCTCTCCTCTCTGCTTTCTCAAATACTTAATACATGCTTAGCCATATTATTTTTGCTTATATTAAAATTTAGCTAACTTTTATTTTCTACAAGCTCATGTCACAAACTTAGTAGTACCATAGTGTAATATTGGAGAATCTTTCCTTAAAATGCTAAAAAACTATTGATGATATATTATCCCTGCATTTGTTTTAATCATGAAACTTTAGAGTCCATTAACCAAAATATGAGTGCTTCAATAGCTCAAATTTTAGGCCAGGTTCACACTACGGTGGAAGGTTGGCTTAAGGTACACAATTTCAGCTACATGAAAAAACATAGCTAGAGTCAATGTACCTTAAGCCGAGCTTCAGTGCCATCCTCACGTAGGGTTACCAGGTAGACCTCCCCCCCCCTTTCTCCCCCCCCCC